GAAATCTTTTCTTTCTCTATTTCTTTTGTTTTAACTACTGCTAATGCTTTGTACTTAGATCTTTTAATATATTCTATTTGAGCTTCTTTGATGTTTTTGCATATATGTTTTACTTCTTCTTTGTTAATATTTGTTGGAAAATCCCATATCATTATATATAACACTGCTTTCAAACCCTCTTCTGTTAAGTGTTCTGCTTCTTCACAGTCCACTTCTTTTTGTCTAGTATAATTTTTTGACTTTCTTTCTTCTCTTTCTTTGTCTTTATATGCTTGCTGATGCTGTTTTCTTTCTTGTCTTTTTGGTTCTTCTGGAATAATTTTGAGCCATTCACCTTCTTTTTCTTTAATTCTTTCTATTGCTGCATTTCTACTAAACTCACAGTTGAAGTCAACTTCTGTCCAACTATTACCTTTCTTAAAAACTTCTTGAATTAATTTGATGTGATGGTTTTCTCGAAAGATCCATTGGGTATATTTCAATCTTTCTTTCTTGTTTTCTCCTGGTACTATATATGTTGAAATATTCACTTTAAAAGATTTACTTTTGTCACATATACAGTTTTTTAGTAACCATTGACTATTCTCAATTGTATCTATGAGTGTTAGTGTTTCTTAATTCTTTTTTTTTGCTTTTAGCTTTATTATTTTCTTATCTATATCTTCGATGTTTTTCTTTAAGTTGTATATTCTGTTATTTATTGATGTTTCTTGGTCTTCTTCAGCTTGTTTTTCTTTATCATTAGTCTTTTCTTTTGTTGTACTTACTGATAACATTTCTGAAACTGTATCTTGAGAGTTACTAGAACTTGGTTGTTATGTGATTAAGATACTCAGTTCTTTTATTTGTCCTATAACTCTCTTTAGATCTTGGTTTATTTCTTCTTTTTTACTTGCTTGTTCTTGGTTTCTTTCTCCTTTTCCTGACATGGCAATTTCTTTCTTTTCTGCTTTTTTAACCTTTCTGATTTTCTCTATTTTTGTTTCTTTTTTAGTTGTTTCTTCCTCATTAAAATTTCTTTGAGGATTAAAAGAGCCTGGGTTCACATCTATTGCTAATAGCTTTGTTGCCTATTCTTCAATGATATTATGTGATACTGTGCACACTTTAGCTATTCTAAGCACTTCAAGAATTTGGTCATAAAGAGGTAAATCCTTTACTATGATATTTTTCAGATCATAAACTGCTAGATTTTTTGCTATATATTCTAAGTTATCTGGATTTCTAATACATTTTGACAAAATCTTATCTAGTATTTTGCTATCTATATATTTACAGTTTCTATCTCCAAACCCCCTGATATGTTGAATTAAATCTGTGTCCAATGACAATCCTATTCTTGTTTGTATTTCTATTTCTAGACTTCCTTGTTGCTCGTTCATCTATTTAGTGGCTGTGCTTGTATTTACATATATTTTCTAATATAGTTGTTTGTTGTTTAAAGTGATGCATTGTTGTTTGTTGTTGTTTATATTGATAGCTAGTCATGTGCTTTGTTGTTGTTTTTTAGGTCTAGCGTACTTTTTCGATTTCTCCAAAAATTTGTTTAAAATTTCTTAAAGTCAGAAAAAGTTTTGTTTTCCAAGACTTTGCTTATATTGTTGCTAAGACAAAGTATTTGTGTTTTGTATGCTGAGTCTTTTTTCTTAAAGGTCTCAATATAGTTTGTTGCACCAGTTTTGTGTTTTCTTAGTGTATTTACTTTAGCCATGTTTTGAAAAAAAGGGATCAGCAAAAAGAGTTTTGTGTCTTTAATGATTAAATAATTATTAACAAGGCTAGAAGGCATAATATCTCTATAAGTCTTATCTTTATTATTTACTAGTACTGTTTATACCAGTTCTAATTTTTAAATATATATCTTATTTCTCTTTTTACTATTATTATATATTTTAAATATCACTTAATTTTAATACAATTACCAACAAATGTACTATCTTTATTTTTACAAATTTGATTACAAAACTACTTTATTATATTAACTTTAACAAAACTCTTAATTTACATGCCAACTTTTTTAATATTACATACTCTGTAACTATTTGACATTTTTAACATTTCATTACCTTCTTTATTAATAATCAACTTAAAATAATTACCTTATATCTTTTAGTCTAACTAACTTACTAATAACTTACAATTTATTACTAATTCTAATTATAATTTAACTATTATTTTATTTTATATTAATGGTTTTGTTATTGAGCTTAATACTTCTTAATGCTCTATAAACATAAAATCATTTTAAAAAAAAAAAAATTTAAACCAAAAAAATTTACTATTAAGAATTATCTATTATAAAAATACTTTAAATTGTATAGATTTAATTAAATAAAATTAACTAATAATGAGAAATTTAATTTATATAATCTTCATTAGGTTTCACAACCTATGAATTTTTGTAAACTAGACTGAGCCTAAAACAATATTTTACAATTGTAAATCAGAATAGATCTAAAAATTTTCAAAATTAATAAATTTTGCATATTAGGCCAAGCTAAAAAAAATTTATATATGCAAATTGGATTAGCAAAAAAATTTAAAACTAAGTGTAGACTGAGCCTAACCACAAAAATTTTTATAATCATGTGAAATTATTCAATTACAAATTATATATTAGTGTAATGTAATATAATTAGGAAAAATCTCAAAAATTTGCTTAAAGATAAAGTACAACATAGATCATTTCTATATATAATTAGTTATAAAAAAAATTTTATATAATAATTACAAAATATATTACTAATAAAACTTTTTTATTTTTTTAATTAATTAATAAAAAAATTTTATAATATTATAAATAAAATTAAGAGATGTGGTGACCTAGTGAAATAGTCAGGTTGTCAACCCTCCAAGTGGTAGATTAGATGTTTAAATCCCATTAATGATGAAAATTTAAATAATTATCTATATAATATTCATATTATAACAACTGTTACTAACGATTGGGTTAGGATATCTGTAATAGTAGCTATATCAGTATGACTGGCAGGTCATGAGGCATTTGTGTAAGTATAGTGTTATACAGAGAAATGCAAACTAACAAATCAGGTGATACATATACTAAATAAGTCCTTGTAACCATATAAATTCATTGAAATTGGATAACAAGAAGTCCATTTGGGAAGACCTAAATAGAGAGGTAGCTGGATTTTCAATGACCTTACTGTAAAGGCTAGCCTGAAAAAATAGATACCAAAGTCATAGTATTTGATTGTAATAGCCAAACAAACAAAAACCTCTGAATTGGGAATCTTGAGAATACCACCAATCAGGCTGTTAAAACGAACTAAAAAAAAAAGATATTAGGCTGATCTGATATACTAATGAACTGATCATTATCTTATATGAGCTATCTGGATTGGAAGTTTGGTAAAAAGGCAGGTGAAAAAACAAGGATATACTAAAGTACCAGGATTATACTATGAAATAAATATTAGAGTTTAAGTAAACTCTACAAAGACATAACAGTTTAATGATTAATCCTAATCACAAATGTTAGTTCTGCTATAGTGATATTTAAATCAATTATAAAAATCTGTACAGAAGATTCTGAAAGGTTTACCTCAAGGATAAATTAGTTTTAAGGTTAAAACAATGATCTGAACATCTGAGTATAACTCAATAATGTTAATACAAGTTACAGATTTAGAAGGTTTAAAATAAACACTCAAATAAGAATATTAGATATAACAATTAGTAAAAAACCTTCAGATGAACTCCTTAAATAAATAATATAGAAAAGTTATACATGTAACCAATTGTATACTCTTTTGTAATAGTTTATTGAACTACTATACTGATAAGTAATTAATAAAAATTAAAAAGACTAAAAAGATCATTTTAATATCAAAATAAATAAATAAATAAAATTATTTATTTATTATAATAAAATTTTAAACTATTATATTATTTTAAAAAAATATATTTGTATATATGATAAAATTTGCTTAAGTCGATTAAAATTACCTAAGTAATACAAAATTGGATAATTTGATTAGTTAATTTATATAAATCTATAAGTTAATTTTATTATATAATTTTATAACCTAATGTTTAAAAACTCATATCTTGATGAGTTTTTACTCAATTTTAATAATTTTACTATTATTAAAATCAGAAAAACCTACTCTACAACTTTTATATTAAGATTAAATTACTTAATATATTTTTTCAAAAAATTAAATATAAAAAAAAGTAATAAAAATTTGCAACTAATTATATATAGAAATGATTAACGTTGTACTCTACCCTTAATAAACCACCTAACAAAAAAATTCGTTGAAAGTTTAGCCCTTTCCTAATCTTAAATCTAACTCTAACGAACTCTAAAGAATTTTAAAGCAGCACGTGATCGAAAAAATTTAACGATGCTGGTAACTAGAAAAAGTTCAAAATTAGTATCTAAAATAAAAATACGTAGTATAACTATGACAAGGTTGTGACTATATCAAGAGACTATAACGAGGTTTGACAAACTAAAAATATTTTTAAAAAGATAAAACTTATAAGCAAACTATATTATTATAAAATCTGATTGGTTGACTCATTACCCGAGGATCCCAAATATTGAATTTTTTCAGAAAAAAATTTTATACTGTATAATCGTTTAATATTTTTTTTATAATCTAAAGATATTTTATAGAAGTAACTTCTACATAATCACTGTATCCAAAATAAATCCTAAATATTATTCATATATTTAAATTAGATTAATTAGATATGTACAAGACCTATTTGGCCAAACAAAAACTTATAAAATCTAAAATTTAAGCAAATTTATACTTTTGCCCGGTACATTTATATTGCTTCATTCAGCCAGATTTAATTAGACCATTGCTGAAACAAAGAGCGAAAGTAAATAACAATATACATACTACCGCTACAAATATTCATGGATACATGCGAATTTGACAATTCAGAATTATCGTTTTAAAAATTATTCGCTTTAAAAATTATTAATGTAAAAACATCCATTGTTCGATCTTAAAATTCGATTTTTAAGTGACATGAACAACCTCATCCTTACTATGATCGCAAGAAACATCATTTTCACCTGTTTCACAAACATTTTCAGCAAGTTGATCCTCATCAAAACGAGATAGTTCATTATCCGTTTCATAATCATTAGTTGTAGTTTCATAATTCGTTTGTTCTGAACTAGAACCATTTACAGGAGGTAGAGAACGTGTACCAGAAACAATACTATGTTGTACAGTCATTGGATATCCAAAAAATTGTTGCTCTAGACCAAATTCTGGCGGTAATGGCATCATCGAAGGTAAAATGAATGGTGGTGGTAAGTGGCCATAAGCGTTAATATATGTATCACGTTCTCCTGGCACACATGGGGGACAGTGTTGATGGGCATATGGACCGGGAAGTATTGGGTGTGGAAGTGTGGCAGGATTTTCATGTGGATCATCAGCACCAATTGAATTATCATGACCAAACCAAGCAACTGGTGGCACGTAAGGATAAACGAGACCTTCTGGCGTATTGATTAAAGGCGGAAAGTTTATATCTAGCAAAACGAATTAAAATATTAATATTACGAAATTTATATAGATCAGTTTATTAAATAATTTTCAAATACCATTAGGAATGTTGTTATAACCTTGATTGATTCCGCGTGGATGTATATTCATCGCTGACGGATCAAACGGTGCCTATAAAGTCGCATTAGAAGTTGACAAGTTCATGAACCTTTAAACCAATTGTTATAATCGCAACATCTCACCATTGGAGGGACCCTTACATTAATAAACAAATAAATCGGTTAATTGATTGGCTTAAATAAATAATGAACATTCTGATTTATACATATACCCGTTTAAAACATTCATAGTTGCATAATGCATATCAAAGCCAGAATTAGGTCCTTTATTTTTAATTGATGCTTTTCTGCCGCTACCTCGACGGTTAGAACTTGAAGGCCTATCAAAAGATTTAGTGCCAACTACAGTTCCAACATTCGATACAGATGTAGGACGCACATAACGGCTACGATTCGATAATGGCTTATTAACAGTATTTCCTGAGACACGTTCAACCGCGGCTTTCGATAAAGCTGGTGGTCGTAAAGACATTCGAGCATTGTTCGATTTTTCAGAAGTACCATAAGAAACAGCCTGCAACGCTCGTTGTCGAACTTCGAGCTGTTGGCGCAGTATTTGAATTTGATAATTACGATATTCAGGAGACTCCCGGTATTGAACACGAATTATTCTGTCAAGGTATTTGGTATTGTTCTATTATGAAATATAGAGCATTAATTTTTCGTAAATTTAAATTTATTCTAAATTCTTGAAACTCACTTCTGCTTCAATTGCCTTGGTTGAAGCATTTTCGTCATCGTAACGAATGAACGCAAAAGCCGAACGTACTCCAAAAAAAAAATAGAGACCCCATTTACATTAATTGTACAATAAATTTCATTAAAAATATTTTGAATAATAAATACCATTCACGCGACCGGCAGGACCAGGTTTCTTGATAGTAACAAGCCGAAGATCTTTAATTTCGCCGTAACGGTTAAATTTTTGCTCAAGTATATCTTTAGTTACAGCTTCTGGATTAAGCTGTCCAACAAATATAGTGCCTTTATCTATATCACCGGGTCCAGGTGTTGCTTTCTCAAGATTTGCTGCCCATTCAATGACGTATGATGAAGTCCGGCGCAAGCTCTTTTTAATAATGTGAAAAAGATACACGTAGTTTCCAATAGTAAAATTCATGTGAATGAATAAACAATAAAAATGCGCGTACCATATATGCGCTGATGGCGTCTTCGCGATAACAGAACTTTACGAACGCACATCCACGGCTTTGGCCTGTTCGAAAATCTTTTAGAATATGAATATCTTCAGTAGCCCCATAAGGTGCGAGAAGTTTAGTGATATCCTAATTAAGCAAATGAATTAGCATTGAGTGGGCACAGTAATGAATAACAAAAAGTTCGGCTTAATTTAGTTTACATCTTCTCTCATATCACGACTAAAGCGGCCAATAAGCAATGTCCGATTAACTTTTGCTTTTTCAACACGAATGTGACGTCCATCGACGATTGAATTATGTGCTTCAGTCAGAGCTCGTTGAGCATCTTCAATACTCTAAGTATTAAACGCGTAAATAATTAATTTAGAGCGCGTCGCGTATAAAGCATACAAGAATAATAAATCATACAAAATTAATCAAAACAAGAAACAAAAAATCTCATACCTCAAACTGAACGAAAGAATAAGGCCGATTTAACCAATCAAACAAAACCTTAACATTTAAGAGCGTTCCCCATTTACGGAAATGGTCTGCAACAGCTTGTTGAAGCTCAATTTCCTTTTTATTAGTTGGTAGACTAAATATTGATCATTGATAAATTTTAATATAAGTTTAGAACATATTCTAATTTAAAATTAAACATCCTGTCAAATGCTTGCCTTGCGACAAAAAGGCACCCCGCTGGTAGACCACGCTTATGTTGACCTTGAGATCCAGATTGAAGTGAAATTTCGTCTTGATCGTTATTGGTAAACATCCCTGATTGTTCTGAATTATAAGACACAGCCGCAACGTCTTCTTTAACAGCAGTTTGTTCTTTTACTAGTGAATCTTCAACCTGTTCAGCATTCGAGACTGACGCGACCGTAGTGCGCTTGATTTGATCTGACATAGAAGTGTTCGGTTGTTTTTGTACGGGCAAAACTTCTGTTTGCTTCATGGTGTTCGCCGCCTTACAGTGAACTTTGTTTTCAATAGAATCGTTAGGAATTGCTGAATTGCCACGAAATTCATCGTTTTCGGCCACAATGAGAATTGACTCTGTCTCGGCAGTTTGATTTGCCGAATCCATGGGAATTTTTCCATCTTTGATGGCCAAGGAATTTTGACCAACCTTTTGATCTATCTCATCTATAGTAACGCCCTTATCTGAAAATCAATAGCAAATAAATTTGAATTTCAAAATCCCCTGGTTTACACACACCTGAATTGTTACGCTTCTTTTTGACCGGGACTCCATTTGTTTTTTGCTGTCTAACGGCCATTCCTTCTTCACTACCATTTGCGCCTTGGATAAAGGCCTCTGAGGTTTGAGTTTGAGGTGATTGATCCATTACTGTTTACAAAGAAGCTCGGAGAAATGACTGAAATTTAACGAATTATGTAAGACCACTTCAAAAGCAAACTTCAGGTCAAAAAAAACTGATTATGACGCGTTTTTTTTTAAAAAAACACGCTTCCAATTAGAAAAATGCTACTTTTAATGCGTAAAAAGAATAACGTGCTCGGATTTTTTTTTTCTTTTTGTTAAGAGATACTTGCTTGTTAATAATGACAAGAACTTTCCACAAATGCCTTCAGACCAAAAGGCATGAGAATACGAAGGCGAGGTTGGATTATAAAAGAATTTTTCACTCCTTTTATCACAAACAACGTGGTACAAAAATGAACAACAATAATTCTCAAAATGACATCATTCACTAATAGCTGATGCATATTTATTATATTCAGTCATCTTATTTTTGACTGTCATAAAAAAAAAAAGATTAGTCATACAATACTTCTAATTTGGGCAAGCTCTTGAGAACTCGGATGGGTGCATTATATGTCGTAGTTCACATCTCATTTCATCTATTCTATCTCAGGATCACGACTGCTTTTTAATAACCATGAAAATAAGCACTATTCCAACAAATATAAATTATTCCATAAACTGAAAGGGTAGCGATAAATTTTATTGATGACATTGGTTAATCAATCTCGAGTTTTGGTTTATGCTACAGTCGCCTCCCGTTATAGTCACATGGAAAAAATTTGTATAATACAGTACGAGATCGTATAAGATATCCCATTATTCATAAAATTACAGAATCACAAATATGATGCTTTCATATATAAAAGATTCAAAGAAGCGCCAAATTAAGAGATTTGTAAAGTCAGGTAACAGTAAAAAATCACACGATAGTTAATTTTGATTTTCATTTCACGTGATTACATAATAGTTTATTTTTATTGAAATAAGCGCCAAATTCTATGGGACTTTAATACATGTCATCTTGCGTAATATCAGATTTGCAGATTTTATTTGCATATTAAAAAGCTAAGTATCTTAAAAATATTAGCATACTGTATAAATAATAATATTTGAAGGTTTATTGTTAAAAATAAGGAGTTTTTTAAATTTTTTTAAAAAAATATTACTACATAGTACTAGTAGTATTCACTATTGGTTATATGTTTTTGTTAAAATTTAGGGTTATAATACATTTTAAGACCAATACAATAGCCTAGATGTTATACAATGTTCTAAACATTTTTGTTTAGTATACCTAACTAGTCCCGTTTTTGAGATATAGCAATACCGATACCGGTAGTGGTAGTAAATAGCAAATTTTACTATTGTATACTATAGTGTTTTTGGTTTAAATCCATATACTATATATATAGAATTTTTAATTTATTGCATAGTGCCGTTAATAGAAATTAAGCAGATTGTCATTTTAAAAAAAATTAATCTCTTAAAGTTTATTGCTTATATCTTGATGAATTTCGAAGCTATCCTTATTATTGAATAGTCAAAAGAAATCATAAATCTTAAATTTTTATTTAATTATTCACTAATAAGAATAGTTTTAAATTTATTAAAACATGGTAGTGAAAGTTAAGACATTAATTTTTTTTAAAACATTAAGGGTAGGGGGCAGTACTTTAAAATTATATATAAAACTAATGGTAAATTTTTTATATATTTAATTTTATAAAAAATTATATTAAGTAAACTAATTTTAATAATTAAATAAAAGTTGTAGAGTAGGTTTTTTTGATTCTAATTGTCCAGAGTGTAGCAAAGGATTTACATTTCAGATACTTAGTCAATTTTTGTCTATCTGTCCACCCATGTGATTATGTGATATTATGTGACACATACTAGATGTTTAAGCTGAATTTTGTCTGTCTGTTCATCCATGTGATCATATCTTATCATGTGATACATACTAGATGTTTGAGTAAATTTTGTTCATCTGTATACTTATGTAATTATATTATATCACATAATATATACTAGTTAAATTTTGTTTATATGACTAGTCTTTAAAATGATTAGACAATTTTTTTAATTTACTTAAGATTTATAACAATGATTGTTTACTTAGTAATAGTAAAATTATTAAAATTGATTAAAAACTCATTGAGATATAAATTTTTAAAGGTTAGAATATAAAATTATATAATAAAATTAACTTATAAATTTACATAAATTAACCAATCAGATCTCTAGAGTTGATACCATAATGATTATACTCTGAGGTTACAAATTGCAAGACTGCTGGTTCAAATTCTAGTGATAGCAATTGTAGAGATGTATTTTTAAAAATAGAGAACTTCAACATTACATAATCAAGAACCTAGAACATTTAAAGAATAGATTTATTTCTAGAAATAGCAAGTGACTTGCAATTGAAAAGCTATATAGTAATGGATATAAGTTAGAGTTTAATTCAGATAACTAAATTTATAAGATATAATATAAAGCTGAAAGTCTGATAATAAGAGATATTATATGAATTCATAATAACAGCTAGTTCTAGACTAAGTTTGATAAAGTTTTTTAATTCTAACAAAGGTCAATGCAATAAATCATTTCTGAAAAGTTTAAAAGCATGAACTAAGAAAGATTAAGATTCAGTGACTAAAGACATTTGAGAATATTAGTTCAAAAATATAAAAGCAAGAACAATCTTGGCAAGATTGTTAAAGAAGGAAAAATAATTAACTAATCAAATTTTATATTTTTGTATTATTTAAATAAATTTTAATACTTAAGTAAACTTTATTATATATACAAGTATATTTTTTTTAAATAATATAATACTTTAAAATTTTATTATAAATTTTTTTTTTCTTAAACAGTCATGCTAGTGCTTTATTAAAATTTTAAAATTACATTTGCAATTACATAAATATCCCTAACAACTAAGCCTAGCATCACCTAGCCATCTTAATAGTACCTAAGTGCAACCTGCTGCATTACTTCAAGCAGAAATAAGCCACTTGTTTAACTACTTAAAATCTATAATAAAAGAGTTATCTTTTTTTTATGACAAGTTCTAAAATTGTTTTCTATGCTTCTTTTCTGATTTGTTTTTCTTTTTTTTCACTTTCTCTTTTCTCTCTTCTATAACTTGCTGATTTGTTTTCTTTTTTTATTTGATGTTTTTCTTTCTTTTTTTTTCCTTCTTTTTATCCTATCTATTATTCCTTCATTTTTCTCTTATTCATTAATCTTCTTACATCAGATTCTTCATACTTGTTTGTAGAATATATCTCAGACTGTTCTTGCTATTGTATTCATAAACTGCTGTCTTGATTTTGTACTTAGGAGCTTCTTAATCTGTCTTGTGTTTCTTTTAAAATGAGACCTTTAATTAGTGTCTTTCTTATTTTAATTTCCTCTGCTTCTGTTTTTCTAAAAAGTGCTATATATAATATGTATAAGGAAACTTGAACTTTTTCTTCTTTCTTTAGTCTCTTTCAGGCTATTGTAATAGTTACTTTTTGTATTCTTTTCCACAGATTTCTTTGTCTTTTATATGCTGCCAAATATGTTTGTATTTTTTTTGATTTATCTTAACACACTTGGCATTCCATTATTGTATATACATCTGGTCTTCTTTTGTTAAGTTCTTTTAGAGTTTAAGTTTATCCATTATGCACTTTATAAATGCACTTCTTCTGGTATTATCTCTTCTTATTGTGCAGTATACTCCTTTAGATATCTTCAGTCTATTTCAAAAATATGTCTAATTATAAATCATAACTTCTGTTTCTGGTTTTAGACTTCTAATTGCTTTTATTTCTTTCTATTCTGTTCCTAACCTTGCATTTATTATTAATTTGTATAGCAGTCTTGCTGATATGTCAGTACATTTGTTTTCCTATTCTAAGCAGTACTCTATCTCTTCACAACTGACTTTTTTAACCTGTATTATCTCTTTACTTATTGCATCTTTTTTTGCTAGATTATCTGCTTTATTATTTCATCTATATTTACTATAACTCTTAATTTTAACAAACTCTATCTAAATGTTCTTTGTTATAATAAGCTCTCTAATTTTCATTATCCATATTGTATTTTTCTTTTTGAGAATCTTATTTTTGTATACTTGCTCTAAACTTCTACTAATATTACTTATTGCTGCATTGCTATCTGTATATATTTCTACTTGCTTTTCTCTTGGTATTGTTAGAATTATGGCCCATATTACTACTAATTCAGCTATTGTTGATGTTTGTCATCTTACTAGACCTAATACTATTTTCTCTTCTGGCTATTCTTGTATTTCATCTGTTTGCATTCACCTTATGCCCATATTGTTTCTGTTTTTTGCATCTTCTTTAGTCTTCAAGTTTGCTGCTCTATCTGTATATATTATATACTTGTCTTTGTTTCTTATTATATTTCTTCTTAAGACTTTTACTATTTTTTGACTAATGCTATCTTTTAACTTTTGTCATCTGATTATCTCTACTTCTAGCTTTTCTATTATTCTTAGTCCCTCAAGTTTCTGTTCTCCTATTCTTGATTTATTTGTCTTTATCATTTCTGTTATTTGATTTATTGTTATTTAAATTTTATTGCTACCTTTTTTTATTAATGTATTTGGAACTACATTGACTCTATTATTTACTTTTACTTACTACTGGCAGAGATTTTCTTAGTATTCTTCTTTTCTTATACAACCCTTATATTTGCTAATTTTGATAGCTAATTCACTTTTTTTATTCTATATTTGCCAATATTCTACTAGTATTTTTTTTTTCTTCTTAATTATCTTTCCTAACTGTTAATTGTTCTATGCACTATATACTACCTATTTTTTCTTCTTTTGTCTTCTGAGATATACTCTCATTTTATTTACATTGCTTGAGTATTTTGTTCAATTATTCAAAATTGTCTTTTAACTTCTCTATTTTCTGGTCTAATAAACACTTCTCATTCTATTCTTTTAAATCATTCTGCTTTTTTCCTTTTACTCAATAGACCTTGGTAACTTTTTAGCTACTGCCATGTAATTAATCTCTTTTCTTTTGCATCTATCAGCTGGCTTAGATA